CTTCATACATATTTGCAGAATACGAGATATAACAAAGGAAGTAGCTGCAGCTGTGGTGAAGGAAGCCATAGAAGAGGATCTTGCAGAAGGATACCGTGAAATGGATGCTAGAGAGCTCCGAAAACTCAGCCAGGTGTGCTTGCTATTTGTTTGAAAACCTTTCATTTTAGCGTGAGCGCGATACTTGAATTCAAAATTTATCATCTTGTTTACATCCATATGGATGATCTAGTTATTAAATTAAGAGTGTGTGTGTATGTGTTACCTAAACTGTATTTTGGGACTCAAGTCTGGTAGCCATATTATTTTTTGCACATGAATGACACAGAAAGATCCATACAGCCAACCCCAACTAGTTTGGGATTGAGGCTTGGTTGTTTCTGAATATCGAAATGACATGGATGGCTGATATACAGGACAACATTAGTTTCTGATTGGTTACTGAAGTATTTAATCATATTTTCACACTTATTCCCAATATCTGCAGTGGAATGTGAATGAGTGAAAGGTCAACTTGTCTTTGAAATGAGTGTAGGTGTGTTGTAGTCTATGTGAGAGTGAGAGTGAGAGTGATTAATTTGTAACGGATGCATTTTGGAAGCTTAATTCTGTTTTCATCTTGGCTGACACAAGCAGTTGAGAATTCCTGGGCAACTCATTCCACCCTAATTTGATACTAAATAAACTGAACCTAAATATCTTTGGAGAAAGCTTTTGTCATCAGCTCTGCTGATCTTTTGGTGATATGGAGTGCATGGTGGCTCCTGATTTTTGTTCTTTCTCATGCGAGGCCAATTCTGGGAGGCTTTTATTTGACACTCACATGATTTTAACAGGAGGAAATTGAAGAATATGTCAAGAACAACATGTGGAGTCCAGATTACCCAACATTGGTCTATAAGAAAGATTGAAACCTGACCGCCTGAAATCTGAGATACATGAACCAAATTTGTCATCAAGCCTGGTCAGTAGGAGAAAAGTGATGTTCAAATGTCGTCATGATTTTTTCGCTGCAGCTTGGTAAGAGCATTTTTTTATGCTAAATAGCTATCCACTCCATTAAATTGTTTATTAGTGGGCTCTTGTCATGGGTCTACATATCAGTTTTCTCTAATCTCCTTCGTCATGACGTTTCGTGCCCTTTAGCTCCCAACCTGTACAAGCAAGCCAGCTGAAATCTCTTGAAATGGATGTAAATTTGAGCTTGTTCAATTACGCGATTCTTGTAAGAGTATGCCTCAGTGGTGGCTTGTATTGTATGCTGGGGGGGCTCAAGCAACTGTAAATTATTATGTTTTATTTTGTCATGCATGTGCTCCAAATAATTGAATGCTCTCAGATCATTGCGTCTGCAGATGAAACTTTGATCCTTGCATGCTTGTCTTGTGGTTCATGTTTGACACTTTTTCTTTCGCTTGTTCATTTCCCCCCTTAATTAACTATCCTATAAAACGACAAAGAAGTGACCGAAAATCTAATAATAGAAGAAAATCCGCGAAAAAGTTATCTGGCGCCTGTCTAATCATGTCGGTTGTAATGGTAGAATTTGAGAGATTGTTTTTTTTTTTTAAAAAAAATCTAAATTAGGATGATGGGTTATTATAGGATAAATTGGTCACTTAATATACAAAACAAAAGGCATGTCAAGCTATTTTTTTTTATTTTGATGTTACGGTTCTGAATCTTGATATAATTAAATATTTTGAATTATTATATTAATTAAATATTGCAATTAACAACTGTGATAATATTAAAGCTTCGTTTGTTTGTAGAAAAATTGTTTTTTTAAAAAGTGAATTATAAAAAAGTAAATTTTAGGGAAAATAAATTCCTGAAAAGTTAATTATTTTTCGATGTTTAGTAGTGTTATGAAAAATAAATAGGAAAATATTTTCCAGTGTTTAGTTATATTATAAAACATGAACTGGAAAATAATTTATTAATATTTTATTTTTCTCAAGTTTATTAAAATAATGAGAAACAAATCTCTACAGATAAAAAAGTTGAATAATAATGAAATTAAAAAAAAAATTATAAATTATTTTAAATAAAATAAATAATAATAAAAATCAAATCTAACAAAAAAGATGAAGAAATTAAAATAATAATAATTAACATTTCATAAAATATTTCAAATAAAATAAGTAACAATTAAAAGAATGAGAATCAAATTTAATAGATAAAAAATTTCAATAAAAAAATAATAGGAGAAAAACAAATAACAATTATAAAAATGAGGACCAAAGTTAATATAAAAATTAAATTTTAAGAAATGAAATTGAAAAATAAATATTCAAAACAAAATATTTATAGCAATCAAAAGTTTGAGGATCAAATTTGATATAATTAGCAAATAATAACATTTCTAATTTTTTTACAACTTTTAAAAAGTGTTTTCCTCCTAAATTTTTCAAGAAAACACTTTCCTGAAAATCAAGTCAAATTTTCCTTTAACTAGAAAGTGTTTTTCTTTTACCAACTTTCCTAACAGCAAACAAACATAAGAAAGTTTGGAAAGTGATTTTTCAGAAATCACTTTTTGGAAAACAAACACAAGAAAGTTTGGAAAGTATTTTCCCGGAAACCACTTTCCGGAAAACAAACACAGATAAAAAAGAAAACATTTTCTTGAAAACCAAGTTAAATTTTTTTTTTGACTGAAAAATATTTTTCGTTGACCAGAAAGTATTTTTCGTTGATTGGAAAGTGTTTTCTATTGACTGAAAATTATTTTTTGTTGACCGGAAATTATTTTTCGTTGACCAACTTTTCTAATGGCAAACAAATACAAGAAAGTTTGGAAAGTGGTTTCCTATAAACTATTTTCCAAGAAACAAGCATGACTTAATTAAATTTAAAATTAATTACTTGCCTTAATTGTAATGATTAGTTGAATTTATCAGTTGTTTTATAAAAAAAAATATAAAACTATGAAAAATTTAGGTATTAACATAACATTTTTAAAATCTAAAAATTTAATGGTTGAAGTAGTGATTTTATTAATTGATTCTAATTTTGTGTGATTAGATATTTTTTGTGTGTATATATCTATTCTATTGGTTTATTAAGGTATTTGCTAGATTATCTTCATAATTGAAACAAATTTATATAACATAAATTTTTATTTAGTTATAATAGATTTATAATTTATAAACATTCTATGACATTGTTGATATTAAAAAATAAAGGATAATTATTATATGAATAATAAATTTTTAAGATTTTAAATTGAGTTTGTTTTTTAGTTTGCAAATTAAATATATATAAATATATATTAACTCATAAAATATATTTGCAAATGCAAATTTAAAAAATTATGATTTTTGTATGAAATGATTGATTAATTTATACAATTAACTCATAATTAATTCAATCAATTGACCAATTGAATAAGAGAATGGAGCAAGAGGATTGATAATAAAGCCTACATGTTAAATTATCGTGTTTAAGAAGTGTCATATGTTTAAAGAGTAATATTTATTTTATTGTGCTTATAAATAATAATATTTAGTAAATATTATGCTTTATAAGCTCAAGAAATATTTTATAATTTTTTTTAAATAATATTATTTTTCTAAAATCTTTAATTTACTGTGAAAATCAATCCGTTATTATCATGGTCACTGGATATTAACTACTATCTCATTGGACGTGCAAATTGTATATTATTGTTTTATATCGTGTTAAAGGGGCAACAAAGTAAAATGCTGGCATCTTTTTTATTCTTCTTTCACGAAAGAAGGACAGGGAAAAACATAAACTCATTTGCTTGGGTACATTCATTCAATGAGTAATCTCTGTGATAATGGCGTTAATTTTTTTTAAAATCAATTTAAGTTTGACCCAGTCATGAGTTGACACGATTCAGCGGAGAATATTCAAAAGGGTGGAATATAAAAATGATCTTTTGTAATAGTTAATTCTTATACACTAGAAATCAATGTCTGCCCGTTTTCATTTTATTAACTGTTGCGTTTATAAAATAAAAATATATTTTCAGGTTCTGCCTATCAAACTGGAACAGGATGTGGATGCTCACAACTTAAAAGTCCTCTAAGTAAAAAACCCGCTTGGCTTCGTAAAATGGCGAGAAAGGTGTTATGAATATATTATTTCTAAAATGAATAATCAATAAAATCTCAAGAAATTAGTTTGATGTTTAGTAATATTTACATGCTTCTTTGATTTTTTTATTAAAACTTATTTAACGTCAGATCACATAAATTAAAGTTCATCAAAGAAAAAAAATTAAAATTTAAACTGATATAAAAGTATTTTTAATTCATGGGATGAAAAAAAAAAAAGAATGACCAATCCAAGAATTTAGTAGCATTTGGAATGCTGTTCTGAAAAAAATTGAAATTTTATTTGTTTAAAATTATTTTATTTTATGTTTTTGGATTGTTTTAATATGTTGATGATAAAAATAAATTTTAAAAATAATAAAAAAATATTACTTAAATATATTCTTAAACAAAAAAAACTTTAAAAAACAACCATTATTATAATATCAAACATCACATTTATATAAATCTAAACTCAATTTCCAAGTAATAAATAAATATTTTCTCACCTAAATCAAAGATGAATGCTTTTTAAATAACATTCCACAAATTCTTAAATAATAAATAAAAATTATTTCACCCAAAAATAAGAACCCAAAAGTAAGAAGAACGCTAATGTTTGATTGTTTATTTAAGAGTGATAAAAGTTGTTTTTAAAATTAATTTTTATTTAAAATTATATTAAAATAATATTTTTTATTTTTTATACTAAAAAATAAAAATAATCTAAAAATATATAAAAATAAATAATCTAAAAATTAAGAATATTTTTTTTATTTAAAAAAGTATAGCTGTAACGAAATGTTATAAAATACACGTTATATAATTTACAATGCTGTGAAAAACAATGGGGTCCACAATTTTCCCAACGTTCAAAATTCAAAAAATCTCAAACGCGTGAAAGAAAGAAGAAATATAGAAGGCGCCACCAAGGACGGAGCCTACAGAGTCAAGTTGTTACAGTCACGGTCACCGGGCACGCGCGCAGACTGGATTAACCCACCGACCGTGACGTCTCAAACAAAACAGGCACCTCAAAGCCAGACTTCCAGAAAAAAGAAAAACAAGGATTTAGCGTCCGTTTGAAGTCCAGCGCAACTGCTGTCCTTCTTCGCTCCTTCCTGAGCTGAAAATTCTCTCGCTGCTCTTACTTGTTCTAGAGAAACAAAATTTCAGTTTATTTTAGTCTTTTTTTTTTCAAAGATGACAACCATGGAGAGCTTGATAGGGCTGGTAAATAGAATCCAGAGAGCCTGTACAGTTCTCGGAGACTACGGTGGCGATGATAACGCTTTCTCTTCCCTTTGGGAAGCTCTCCCCTCTGTAGCCGTCGTTGGTGGACAGGTAACAAGGCTATCTTTCTTCTCTTATGTTTTCTTTTCAACTAAGAAATTTAGTGGCAACGTTTGAAGCTTTTCTAGTTAGAAAGAAATTTGAGAGAATTTAGGGGAATCGTTGCAGAGAGAGACAAGGCGATATTTTTTGGGGATAAAATTGTGATTTGATTTTGGATTTTTGGGTGCTGAGAACATCAGAGTTCAGGAAAATCTTCAGTCTTGGAAAGCATTGTCGGTCGAGACTTTCTTCCCAGAGGATCAGGTCTGATCCTTTCTGTTTTTTCCGCTTTTATTTTTAGTTTATACAAAATGTTTGTTCTTAAAGTGTTTTTTTTTGTTTTTCTCTTTTGATTTTAATTAATTGCAGGGATTGTGACAAGGAGGCCTCTAGTGCTGCAGCTACATAAGACTGAGGATGGATCACAAGAATATGCTGAATTTCTTCATCTACCGAAGCAACAATTCACTGATTTTTGTATGTTTGTTATGCGCTATTACTTGTTTCATTTCTACTTATTTTCTTGTAAATTTGACAAAATTGACGCTGAACTGTTGTTTTCCTTTCTTTCTTTGTTCCCCCCCTATATGTAGCTGTGGTGCGCAAGGAAATTCAGGATGAAACCGATAGAGTCACAGGGAAAACCAAACAGATTTCTCCTGTTCCTATCCATCTCAGCATCTACTCTCCAAACGGTGTGTGATTATTTCCTTGTCACTTTTATTTGATCTTATTGTGTGTTTGTTAATGAGGTGCGAGAGCTTTTTTGTGATGCTTTTTTGCCCCAAATGCATTTTAAATAGCACTTTCCAAATGCATCACAAAACGCAGCTTAAACAATCATGCATTAATCTTGAGCTGTGGTGTTTTCTTATGTTGTTGTCCGTCTTGATTTTTGAATTTACAGTTTACTTGATTTGCTTTGTTTTGCAGTTGTCAACTTAACCCTGATTGATTTACCTGGTTTGACAAAAGTTGCTGTTGGTATGTTTTTGCTTTAATTGATCATTTTGTATTTTATCTATAAGCAATGAATGGTAACAAATGTGTTAATCTTAAGAGGGACAACCTGAAAGTATTGTTCGAGACATTGAGGCCATGGTCCACAGTTATGTTGCGAAGGTAATGATGCTTTAGCATTTAATTTTTGAAATGGGAAACGATGCATTTCTGTGCAATTATGGTCATTTGGGAGGGTTTTATTATGTTTCAAACAGAATGTAGTCAAACTGTCGTGGTATTTTAAACTTGGCTGCATGATGAGCCATGCTTAATTATTCTAGTCTCTATCTTGGGTTACATGTTTTATATCCGAGTCTTTTATGGCCCAAGGGACTGGTGGGACTTTCAAAAATAGGACGCATCCACTATATTTTGGCATTTCTTGCTGGAATTTAAATGAAATTCCCTGGTGCGAAAATGTGTTTGAACATGTCCCTTAGCAGTTTAGGACTTTTGATTCTGCAATTAATTGCATAGATGCATGATAAAGATAAGAAATGCACAATATTCTTGTATCCATATAAGATCTTCTGTCTTGCATGTTTTATGTTCTAACTGATCATGCTAAATGTTTGCAGCCAAATTGTCTTATACTAGCAATATCTCCAGCCAATCAAGATATAGCGACTTCGGATGCTATCAAACTTTGTAGGGAAGTGGATCCCACAGGTACACATGTTCTCATATAACTGAATGCCTGAGCTGTAGGTTACTGGAAACTCTTTGTTGTTTGTTTTAATTTTCCCTGAAATATTCTTGTTCATAACTTGCACAGGAGAACGAACCTTTGGGGTGCTGACCAAGTTGGATTTGATGGACAAAGGAACCAATGCATTAGATGTAATCTCCACCTCTCTCTCTCTCACAAACACGCGCGCACGCAAAAAAGCTTCTATTTAGTTATTTATATAAAATCACTTGTTTCATAACCAAGGAATAAAAATTTTATTTGCTGTTCGGACATAAGGTTCTTGAAGGAAGATCATATCGGCTGCAGCATCCGTGGGTTGGAATTGTGAACCGATCCCAAGCCGACATTAATAAGAACATTGACATGATTGTGGCTAGGCGCAAGGAGCGCGAATACTTTGCAACTAGTCCAGATTATGGGCATTTAGCCAATAAAATGGGTTCAGAATATCTTGCCAAACTTCTCTCAAAGGTTTGATATTTTTTTATGTTATATTGACCCTAGTACTTCTTCCTTAAGAAAATTAAGAAAAAAAAAATAGGGAATCATTTTAATGATGTGACTTTGCTTTCAGAATTTAGAGTCTGTAATTAGAGCTCGCATACCAAGTATCACATCCACGATTAACAATAGTATTGACGAGCTTGAATCAGAATTGGACCATCTGGGTAGGCCTATTGCTGTTGATGCTGGGGTAAGTAGCTTATTTCTTTCCCAGTCATTCCTTGCTGACATCCATTTTATTCTGAGTGTATGATTGATGTTTTGTGCTTTAGGCCCAATTATATACCATCTTGGAACTTTGTCGTGCATTTGACAGGATATTCAAAGAGCATCTGGATGGAGGGTAATCATTTCTACTCTTTTACCTAAACTTCAAAAATATAATACTTGAATTCGAAAGTTGTACTGTAAAACTTTCCAAAAATCAATTGCTATTTATTCAAGGTGTACGCTATTGATTTTATCTACCTCTTATATATATAGACTGTGTAGTTCAATTTTAATGGGATAGGTATGGAAGATCCATTTTCAACTGTTCATTTTTTATTTTTAAAAAATAATAGAACTGAGTTCAGAAGAGTGGTCTTGATAGTAAAATTTGCTGGTTTCGCTCGTACTGTGTAAGTGAAACATGATTAAAGAAGACCTTAATAGTAGTTTAGCTCTAGCAAACAATTTAAAATGTCTTCATACTTTAGACCAGCTTCAACCTCAAACTCAAATATCACTGGAATTAGGGTGATCCACCAAGAGAAAATAAATATATAAAATTCTCAAAACAATAGACAATTAGGAAATCCCTAAAATGGTCTACAAAAATTCTATGATTGTATTAGGTTAATTTTTTTTGAAAAAATGGACTAAATCTTTAAAAGGAAATTTTCCTTTATTCAATGATTATGAAACCATTATACTTTTGTCCTAAACATCCATCAACCATTACAAAAAGAAACACAACTACATCCACATATAATTAGTTTAAGTAGGTGTTAAAGTCTTTATCCAATGAAAGCCTTAATACTATGATACTTATGGTTCTTAGGGATTATATATTCTTAGGATTTGTTGATTTTTTTGTCAGGAATAATTGAGTCTAGCTTTTGTAGGGGACTAATATATTTAATTGTTACATGATGAAGTCACTGAAAAAACTTCAAAGGATTTCTTGGGCTTTCCACGACTGACAATGGATTGAGTTGTTCTGGAAGGGATGTAATCTGCAAAACAAAGTCCTATTTTGTGTGTTAGGAGCAGTTATCGGGCTAGAATACCTTATCCTATGAGACAATCAACAAGTCCTTTAGGGTAGAAGGCGTGGGGAGTCTGAAATAATAGGCCCCCTAAGTATATTTAGATATGTATATATACTCCCTCTTATTGGTAGATTGGAGTTCTTACTTGGATGGAGAGGTGAATGGATTATCGTAAGATACAGTGGTCCTGTTTTGCTGTTTTGAGAACATGAAAAGAGGAGGTGTTTCGCTTCCTGGAGAGTGCATGTACCTGGGTGCAATACCTTTACTCTTTAACCAATCCTGAAAGAATTTTATGTAGTCAACTCCAGTTCACATTCAAGTCAAGATTTTAAAATGAGAAAACAAAGATAGAGGAAAAGATGGTGGAGGTGGAGAATCTACCATAATAGTCTCAATCATGAGAGTGCAATTGGAGAACTTAGTTTCTCTGTAGATTGAAGACTAACATGATTGCGTGCAACTGTTAACCTAGCATTTACATGTTTGAAATCTCTAATATGCTTTATCTCCTCACTACTTAACTCTTTTGTCTTCTCTTGAGTATCCTCCTCTTCAATATTAATAATCCCTCATTGTCAAGCTCTCCTGACTTGTTTAAGGGAACTAGAACCACTTGAAAAAAACACGGAACAAGATATCAAAGTGTGAGGTAGAAAGAAAATTAAATATGATCCTATTCACATTGTTGTAAAGGAAACCCTTTGATTATATAATTTTTTTTCGAAGGACTAGTGTATCTTAAGATAATCTATTTACCTCTCAATTCAGGTATGAACTCTAATTTACCCTAAAATAAATTTGTCAAAGGACTTTGAGGATGACGATAAAATATGAACTCTTGGGTTGGGTTCAATCTACTCTATGCACACCACCTCAACTCAAAACAGTTTTTGAAGACAAACACAAAAGGAGTTTCTCCAAAGTGTCTTGTAAACCTCTTAAAGGAGGCAAGTATTACCCAATCATAAGGGTAAAGCATACTCAAACACATCTCATAATTAAGGAATACATTTCTCACAAAATTAGCAGAAGAGAGTGTATATCTATATCTAGATATACTCACGGGGATGATTATTTCAGACGTCCCACACATTATGTTGTCATCATGATAAGGAATTTTATCATGGTAACCAACTCCTAATAAATCATTATTTATTTTATCTGCAATTTGTGGTGCTGAGACAAATATCATTATACAAATGAGAAGGGGAAGGTGTTGTTGGTGATGACTAATTACCCCTATTTATGTTGGCATTTTTATTATTAGATAATGTTTTCATGAACCACTCAGTTATACCTAACTACTTTAAAACAAAATAAATGGTGACTTACTCTCGGATAGAAGTATGGTTGGTAATTTTGTGAACTTCCAAGAATGAAATGCAATTTGTTGTGCTGGTACACTTTTATGGTATGCATGTCAAGTTACATCGTGTGAAGAAATTAGCTTAAGCAAGAAATGTTACAATGAATGAACTCCTAAGAATCACAAGGAAAAATTATTTCTCTTGTTTCTAGCTCTTGTTGTCCGGTATTGGTCTAGCTCTAAACAAAGAAATGTTGGCATTGCCACAAAAAGTTACAAGACCTGGGTTTGCTAATAGTTATGTTTCTTATGGTTCTAGTTGTTGCTGTAGCTCCAAGAAAAGCTATAACAAATATTATAATTTTGAGAGATGCAATCAGGTATTGTGTGGTTGAGCTAAAAATCTTTCTTTTTCAATAAGAAATTTTCAGAGTGCTATATGGTCTAGCTCAAAGTACAAGGGAGTGAAGGCTCTTGTGTAATGTTATGAAAATCTGAAGATTGAAAAGTTGTGTTGGAGGAATAAGAAGGATTGAAGTTTTTGCTAGGTTTTCTTTATGTGTGCATATATATTTTCTACTCTTCCTGCCACATGCATTACCTTTATACATCAAGGGCACCCAATAAATGCACCATCTCAGCCTATGCATGCACTAATCTGGAAAAATGATATTGGCAAGGAATTTGGTCTAGTTGGAACCATAAATGCACATGAATTCCCAATGCATGTCACGGGTAAGTCCTTTTACTATGAGATAGTAGATCTGCGGCAGCCTAAATGATGATATGATACTTAGCCTGACTAAAATTTCTCTCTCCTTTATTTTTATATAAATTTCAATGATTTTATAATTTTCATATAAAAATGCTAACCACACACATGCAAGTTACAATGCCCACTCTATCCCCTTTTAATTGTTCAATAACTTGGCCAAATTAAATGTTTTTTCCATGGCCAATAAGGATTAAGATTTCCTCTTCAGGATCAGTTGCTGCTTGTTTCATAAATTAAACATCTTGACAAACTTATGCTTTTACCATCCTTGTAAAAATTAGATTAGCCACCCTTACATGATGACCTACATTAGCATCATCCCTACTATGGTGAGCTACGCTTCATCTTCATCTTCATTTTTACCATGCTATGCTTCATCTTTATTTTTCCAAGGTAAATCTTCCCCGGTAAATCATCGAACAAAATGTATAAACACCTCCCCGCTCAACGATACAGAGCACCACTCATCTCCCTACAACACATAAACACCTGTTTTTGGTCACAGTTTCTATGCCATTTGATCATTTTTCTTTTCATTACTCTTAAACTTTTCGCTTAAACTGACTTAAGTATCAGAGGGTCTCCAACACACAAAAATAAACTTTGTTTAGCTGGTTACAACCTATCCAGAACAACCCAGTGCATTTGTTGTGAAAAACCTAATCAATCCTTTGAAGTTTTTTCAGTGACTCCAACAGTTCCCATCCAAGTTTATTGAAACCAAGATTTTTTGATCAGATGATGAATATGTGGTATCAAGGGTATTAATATTTCCAGTGGATTGAGTTGTATTAGAAACAATTTGAGATTTTAATTGAGAAAGGCAATTTTCAATTTCTATGGAGAATTTTGATGAAATCTTATATGGTCTGAATATTAGTCTAGAAACTACGAAAGTTTTTGAAATAATTGTTTTAGAACTAATGGAAGGAAGGCTTTTTCGTTCGTCAATTGATCTCCTAGAGATTATATAAGTTTGCTGGTATAATTATTTTGTTCGAATTATCTTTTAGGATTGAGCTCTTCATGTTCTCTCCTTTTTTTTTAGGAGATGCAATTGATGAAGAACCTTTAAAACTGAATATATATATATATATATATGTATGTATGTATGTATGTATGTATGGATGGATGGATGGATGGATGGATGTATGTATTGAAATTAATATCTTCCCTGGTAATTCTTGATAACCATTTGTTGAAAGGAAATCGTGGTTCGCACTCTTGTGGAGGTTGAAACTGACAAACCTGACCTTTTATGTCTAATATTCGTGATATTTGGATATACTTTAAGAAAAGTCCTTTCTGCTAGGGATTAAGTTTCTTCTGATTTCTGAACCCTAATGAACTTGTTGGGATCTTAAATATTGTCACTTGCCTGTTCCGGTTTGTGCTCTGATGATTTGGTTCTCTTATGGATGAACTACTATGCACTCTGCTTCACATAAACGTGATTATACATGAACTAAATGGCTATATATTTGACAAACTAAACGTCTAAACCTGGCACAAAAAAAATTATAAAAATCATTTTTTACATTTGTTAGAATAACATTTTTTTTATTTCTCCAACATCTTAGATAGATCAGTCAATCTCTCCCTCTCACATCTAATAAGACCTTTGGATTTTTAATTCCAGGCGACCTGGAGGTGACCGTATTTATGGAGTTTTTGATAATCAGCTCCCTGCTGCTTTGAGAAAGCTACCATTTGATCGGCATCTCTCCCTGCAGAATGTGAGGAGGGTGGTCTCAGAGGCAGATGGTTATCAGCCACATCTGATTGCTCCAGAGCAAGGTTACCGTCGACTCATTGATAGCGCACTGAATTATTTTAGAGGCCCAGCAGAAGCCTCTGCAGACGCTGTAAGTAGCCTAAATTTCTGCATTTGCCTTTATTTTAAATCTCTTTAACTTATCCGGAAGGGATAAAATGGTTGATTGAAATTTCACCAGATCCTTAGCTGACTTGGATATTGTTATCCAGGTTCACTTTGTCTTGAAAGAGCTTGTCAGGAAGTCAATTGCAGAAACTCAGGTAAATTTTTTATTTTTACCTATTGTTTTGCTTTTTATAAGCACCAATTTTTCCTCTATCAGCAAGAACATGAATTTCCACCATGACATGAAACAGGAATTAAGGCGTTTTCCATCTCTGCAAGCTGAGTTAGCTGGTGCTGCTAACCAGGCCTTGGAAAGGTTCCGAGAGGGTAGTAAGAAGACAGCTCTTCGATTAGTGGATATGGAATCTTCATATTTAACTGTGGATTTCTTTCGAAGGCTTCCTCAGGAAGTGGATAATGGAGGAAATCCAGCTTCCTCAACTGTGGACCGATATACAGAGATGCACTTCAGGAGGATTGGGTCAAACGTGTCCTCTTATGTTGGGATGGTGTCTGAGACACTCAAGAGCTCAATCCCAAAGTCTGTGGTTCATTGCAAAGTTAGAGAAGCCAGACACTCATTGCTAAATCACTTCTACACACAAATTGGGAAGAAAGAGGTACTCTATCCCTGGAGTTTTATATGCATCGTATAATTGAACTCATTTGCACGAATTCTTGTTGGAATTCAATGGTTGCTTGGAGTAATTTTGCTAGTTGGTCCAAGCATGTGATTGCTATCATGGATGCTTGTAGTTATTCTTCTTTCTTTTGGCCAAGTGCAATTTTGTTACTTGTCCCAAGCATGTGATTGCTGTTTGACGGTCAATAATTTTCACTTGCATTTTAGGGTAAGCAGCTTTCACAGTTATTAGATGAAGACCCGGCATTGATGGAAAGAAGGCAGCAGTGTGCAAAGAGGCTTGAATTATACAAGGCAGCTAGGGATGAGGTTGATTCTGTATCGTGGGCTCGATAAGGTGGATCTATATTTGAAATACTTTGTATTATACTGAATCTACCTATGAAATGCTTTTTGTATTATAGCGGCTTGAATTGGCGATCCAGACTCTTGATGAGTGAAATTCTTTTTCCTCGTCGCCGATATTTTCTTACCGATGTATTTAAAAGTCATGTGGATTCTAGTCTGAAAAAAAAAAATGATTCATTTTCGTTTGAAATACGAAGGAGCAAGGCCCAATAAACTATAGTCTTACTTTCATATGGTAATGGTGTTGTGCAGCCGCCATTGATGACTAATACTTGGTACAAGCGTAACATGTGATTTGCCCCTGGATTTGTCACCCCATTCGCATTCAGCTCATCCAATTCTGTCCACAAATCTGGATCATCAAAATCCTTAAACAACAAAAGTAGCTTCTATCAATAATTGTTCAGGGCTCCTAGTACCTAACCCCACTACTGGCATCGCAGCTGCCATCAGTCCTGGTATAACAAAACCCATAACAAAGGAACCTAACAACAAAAATTTGTTCCACTTTATGCACAGCATGAAGTGAAAAGGCAAACCTCGGAACACGAAAGCGTGCTTATGTGAAATGTCTAGTGTTTGGAGAGCTTTCAGGTACGGGTCAGGAAATGGTTGTGCTCGGTCAAATTCATTCCCAATAACAAGAATTTCGAAGAAATCTGATAGACCTAGCATGGAAGTTAAAAGCTCAGCATCTGATATTGGAGCATTAGTAACAGCAGCTCTTCTCAAACCGGCAATCCTCGATCCATTTGCGCACCTTTTGAAAGCCCTTCATAGGCTGTAATTGTTCTGCTATACTAAGCTGAACATTAATTTCCACTCCTTCAACTCCTTATAGTTGAGGCAAGATAATTTATGAACTTGTAGAAAAGAAGATCAAATTGTAAAGTTACCTTTGAAACATAGTTCTTTATCTTCCATAAACTTTCGGGATCTTTGGATTTCCCGATCACAAAGGAGGATGTGGCACAGATCTTCGTTATGCCCATCACTAATATTTTCGATGAAAAACTCCTCGGTGATGGGAGTTCCTCCATTGAAACCTACCTCCCCTAATACGACCTTTTGCAGATGAGAATATATAAATCAGAAGGGTCAGAATCAAGTACCCTCACGAAGCATTTCGCGAAAAGCATAAAAATGGAGAGTATCTGAGTCACACAATGTTCCACCAATGTCTAAAAGCATTGCTTCCAAAGAAGCAACAGAGGACAGAGAACATCTACTACCATCATAATACGAGACAACAAAAAATTAGGCCAGAGAAATGCATGGGGACAGTACATTGAGAAACACGTAAAAGAAACCTGTAGATTGGTCGAGTATTGGATGACGCCTGAGGAAAACATTTGAAGCGGTCTGGTGTGTGGGTTATAGTTTGATGGAGATGCGCAGAAAAGGAGAAAGGAGAAGGTGGTGGTGGTGGTTCTGGATGGAAGCGAAGGATATCATGCTTGAGCAGTGGCATATCTGGTTTTGGTTCTGCTAGGACTGAAAGAGAGGAGATAAAATGAGAGAAAAAGTTTCAGAGAGTCAGATATGCGATCTACTTCCTATTGTTTCCAGCTCTCAACATAAGGATTCGCAACCGGATTCATTAAAAACAGGAGCTCTCGGGGTGACACAGAAATTATCTTAGGCTCCAGTCAAAATTGATTTTATATTTTAATCTTTTATATAGATTTAAATTTAACAGGTACCAAAAAAACTAAAAAAATAAGAACTTTTTTGGGGCCCAGCCAGCAGCCTGGCCATGGGCGCACTCATGCTAGCGGTCACGCCAGCACTTTCATGGGCTCGAGCAGACACCCGAGCTCAGCTATCACAGGATTTGGGTAGTCTATTTAAGTTTATTTTTTATTTTTATTGGGTTTAAGCTATTTTTCACTTTTATTGGGTTCAAATAATTTGTTTGACTTCTGCACTCTCTTGATAATTTTTCAAGAATTTCATGTGATATTTTTAATATTTATATTAATTTAATATATATTATTTTAAATAAAATATAATTTAAAATACTATTAATATATTAATAGATGAGATTACTTTTTAACCTCTCCTATTTACATAAAAATAAGACTTTTAGGTTAGAAATATTTCTATAAATCCTTAAAGTTCAAGATTTACAATCTTTTTATTTTTAATATATTTATTATTAAAGTTTATTTTTATAAAATATATTTACACCTTTTTTTATAAAATTATTAGCTTAAACATCCAAAAACTTTTATATTTATAAAAAAAAACATCTTGTAAGTATAAATTACCAGTCTTCCGAGCTAACTAGACACCAATTATCTTAGCTTGCTAACACTACTATTCACAGCTGATAACCATCTATTTTTTTTTATATTAAATCATTGGACGCTTTGCTAGGATCAATAAATCAAATTCATTGAAATAAAACAAATTAATCAAATATCTAACATATATAACCTTTATTCCGAATTATTTTAAATCTTCTAACTTCATCAATAGTTTAAAATGATGAAAACATCATTCTTATACTTGTGATTTACAAAACTCTTAATAGAGCCAAATTCAAGTCATCCATAAATATAAGTTTTATTTATGTTGAATGGATATAAAATTAAATTACTAACCCTAAAGAATATAACTCAATTGATCCGCTTCTAGGTTAGCTTCTTAAATATCATTAGTTCAAATGCTATAAACATCATGTCATTAGAGGTTTTTTGATTGTTAATTTTAAAAACTCAGGGAACTAATTTACCCAGACATCCATAATTACAAATAATAATAACCACATTACTTTATTACTATACAAGAAGCATATTGTATCAAAGAGGGGAGCCTAAGACATGTTTAGGGAGCCTGAGAAGCTTTAATATTACCAGTGGAGTGTTAAGGCCTTCCTTAACAAAACAACGTAATCTTTCAACATACGAGAGAAGAATGGAAATGATAAGAGATTAGGGAGAAAGCAATTCAAAGAAACTAAGTTTTTATTACTTTTCCTTTCAAGTTTATGTACAATTCTGCTTTTATACAAGTGATTCAATCTTTTCTAATTACCAACTAGCTTGTAACTGATCACAACCAATCTAGCTAGCTAGCTTCGCCACGTGATCCTCTTGATCTTTGCTGTAGAATTAGTTGCAGTAACACTTGCAAACGCAGCATTCTGCCCAAACTTCACTTCTGGCCTGCTGATCCTCTCCTTCTGCTTCTGCTTCTGCTTCTGTACTTGTTTCCCTTGCTAAGGGGAGAGGAGAAAGAAAACAGGAGGAGAAGGGAAAAATGAAAAAGAAAAATAAGGAAAAAGGTAAAGAAAATGAAGGGATATTTCAGTTTTTTTGGTCAAAATTTCAATATTATCTAGCGCATAGTCTCTAAAACTATATAGAGAAAAAATAAAATTACGTCACCGCGTGAAAAATTTGTGAAAGTTGGAGTAATTTTCCCTTACATGATCGCTTGAGCAGTAAAATTGAGCTTATCTGTACATTGAGAAAAAGGAAGTGGAAAGAGAAAATTCAGGATTCGGGTCTGGAAGCAGACTATACAGCCCAGTTAAAAAACTCCCAGACCAAAATATGATGTTGGGCCACTAGCATTGAAAGTGTGGACTTAGGGTATGGTCGCCACAAAGACGCAAGGAAGATAGAATTCATGGACCCTGAAAGGGAGGGAAGAACATAAAACCCCAAAAAAGGTTTGCATCTCTTGACTTCAAAGAGAATGAAGATGAGTGGTGCCTTTTATCTCTCGCAGCTATTGCAGATTCCTTCAACCAAGATTCTTCTTAAAACCTCCAAGTTTTCCAATGGTAACCCTCTTTTTTTCTTCTTCTGAAGTGGCTTGAACTTTGGATACTTCAGAACTAAATATTGGATTTTGAGTTGAATTTGGCATGATTGATTGCCTTTTTGGGTACCGTTTTAGTTTTTTTGGTTTTCCCTCCGGGTGACTGGCTAATAGCGTGTTGTCAATTGCAATTGCAAATGCAGGTTTGTATGTGAAAGCAGGAGCAACAAAGTATCCAAATTTATGTTTCTATAGAAATGTTCAGACTGTCACTTATGCAATTGTCGACGGAAGCTATGTACCCACTACCACTCAAACACATCAACCAGACAAAACTAAGGTACCCCTTTTTTGTATCTTGTTCTTTTCTCCTTTACTATAACCGGGTACTTTCTGAGATATGTGTGTGTCTGATAAATTGTTGTTATGAATCCGTTATTTTAGGAAAATGAATCAACAAAACTTGAAAGTGTTGGTGCATTTCAAAAGCTACCGATGGTGATGCCATCGGTTGATATACTTTATTCAGCATTGAGGAAGGCCAAGAGAGTTCCGCCCACAAAAGGTGATTCACTTGGCAATTCTTTTCTTATGTCATAATTGAGACACTGTGGATAAATGGTTATTTATAATATTCGCTCATTTCATTCATAGGCATAAGAAAAGAGTTGCTTTGCCCCTTCTTTTCTTGTGCCTATGAATGAAATGGTGATTCACTTGGCAATTCTTTTCTTATGTCATAATTGAGACACCGGATAAATGGTTATTTATAATAGTCGCTCTTTTCATTCATAGGCATAGCTAATATTGCAAAACGAGAGAGAAATAGAGGGGCAAAGCAACTTGATGCACTGATGAAGGTAAGCCTTATTCTCAAGTTTTTCAAGTATGTTAGTCTGGAAAAAAAGAAGGAGCTTCTATAATATGCAAATGACGAGGGGCTGAGATCTTTGGTTTCTGTTTTAATCATCAGGAATTGGCAGTTCCACTGAGAGAGTACATGGTGAATTTCCCTAAAAAGAAGTATTTGCATCCTTATGAACGATCACTTATTGAGTTGACCCTTGGGGATGGAAATTATGAAGAGGTAACTTATGCGGAACTCATTCCTGGTGTGTTTGCTTGTATGATGGTTCCTGGGACTTAGAACATTTAGCAATAGACTGTGCCTTCAAAAGGGCTCATGGTCCCTTAACTCTTCCGAAATTAATTGATAAAAGCAACTGGCTCGACTTAGTGATGCCTTTCCATAACAGCAAAAATTTTATTTGCAAAAGTAGTGAAAAGAATCCTTCTTCACCCTGCCCCTTCCACTGGGCAGGCTGACTTATACTTGATATGAAGTGGAAGGTCTTGTCTCATGAAAACTGATGCTTTTCTATTTTTTTGTGTATTGTTTCTTCATCTATTTATGCTTTGGTGAAGTTCTGATGAATGGTTTTAGAAAAGTGGAAGACTATTTTGTGGCTTAAGAAAATGTCCTGTCTTCTCCCATCTATTGAATACGTGCAGAAATCTATCATTTCTTTGGACTATTTATAGCAGCTCTTTTCTTCTGTTTTATTCCAATGCTGGATTCATCTATGGTTTGATAGGTTCTGAGAAAAGTTGATGCTCTGAGGAAGAAGGTGGTAGCTGTTGGAAAGGAATGTGCTTCTCTCTGTGCTAAGGTTAGAATTTTTTCTAAAAACTGGGAAGTGTGTATCTTTCCTATTTTCGGTTGCTGAATTCTAGTTGCTTGACTGGGATTTTTATGAGCTAAGATTGTTCAGATATACCTTTAGTATGATTGAAACTTTTGGAAAGCCTACAGATTACAGAAATGGTTCTAAACTTAGACTTTTTTCTTTGGTTTTAGTTCCTGCATATCCTGTAAATTTTTGAAAACTTTTTGCATATCCATGAATGTTTGTCTTGCCTTTTCATCTGCTAGTACAGAAGTAAGCTGAACTCCTTGATTATAAGGAATTCTTAAACTTGATGGATATCATAAATGATTAGGTCATAAATACTTTAACAATCTCAGAGCACATCTAAGTGATTAAAATTGACAATTTCTGCCTCCTCCAGATGATATTATCTACCTATATTATTGTGATATGTTGACTTGATCTGTACGTGGAAAGGTTCCAATTCATAATCACAGTTGTGGCAATATCATGAACGAAGGGAAACTAATCAGTGCACTCTCGTTACCTCTATATCTGTCTGTAGAAATTATGTTGTAACTAACTGGTGGTGTGATTTTGGGCAGTCTTTAACAAAACGAGATGCTGGGGAGCGGTTGAATGAGGTCTGTTATTCTGCTTTCTTGCATTCTCCTTCTACAAGTATATATGACCTTACAGTCTGTCCTATTATCTGCAGGGTCTGGAAAAGCTTGAAGAAGTTTTTAAATGTGAAGGAAAGGCAGTTGATGATTTATTGAACATTGCCAAGGTATTCTGCCTTTTAAGGAAATGTATTTCTCCTTTTTAGTAATTTATAGTATGGTCATGCACTCATATGCATGCAAGTGTCCTTGTCTCGGGTATAGAAAAAGCATTTGAAATTTTTAATTGTTCTAACCATATTAGAGATGGCCTTTGCTAGAGAATGAATTTCCTTAGTGGCGCTTGTGGTGATGCATCTTACTAGGCAACTAGGTTATATATTTAATTGCAAAATAACCTCCATTTCTCTACTGACTATAATTAGATACAGTTGTAATTAGCATGTGATAGGTCAGTATTGATAAGTAATATAGTTTGCAGACATTGCGAGCTATGCCAGTGGTTGATCTGGAAACACCTACTCTTTGTCTTGTTGGAGCTCCTAATGTTGGAAAGTCATCCTTGGTTCGTGTGCTCTCAACAGGGAAGCCTGAGGTTTGGACCAGTCTTTTAGCTCCATCATACTTTTTTCTTTGTGGTTCTGGATGTATATAATGAATGAATTAAATATTGCTCATGTTGATAACCCTAGTTGGTTTTGAGGTTCTATATTGCTTAAATGTATATTATAAGTAGCAATGCATGAACTTTCAGCTAATGCTGACCTTCATGTGATTTTACACACACCCCCCCCCCCCCCAC